TCTTCATCATTGTAGCCACATTCTCTCACATTCTCACCCATTCTCTCCCTATAAAACCATACAATTCCATCACACAATTCATTCAATTCCAAACCTCCATTCACCACACAACAACAAACACAAAAACAGCAAGATTGTCGTGGGTTCCCTTCCAATTCCAGCAACCCCTCTTCTATTTCCACCACTCCCCAACCCTCCAAAACACTACCCAACCATTCCCATTCATACACAATACACACCAACAATATCCTTAGACCTTGTACTACAACAAAGAGGAGGAGAAAGGCCTAAACGTTCATACAATTCAAGTTTGAGTTGTTGGAATTTTTAGGTGTTTTCTTTTCCTTGATTCCAATGTTTAATTTCAATTTTCTTTGTCTTGTACGTATGAGGAACTAAACCCCCCCCTTGGCTAGGGGGGATTCGAAATACATGTTTATGCTTACAATATGATTTGATTACTTCCAATTGTGTTTCATAAGTTGTGGATTCAATTTGTTTAACTATTTGATTGATAACCTATTTATGTATGTTTATTGAGAGTGCACGCTTAATTTTCATGCATGAATATGACGCTAGAATATAAGCAAGTTTCACCTAATAGTTATGAACTTATATTCACAAGTAGTGGAGGTTGCTTATAAACAATCGCGTTAAGTAAATTCTTGGCATAAGTTTCATGCAATTCATAGTAACGAATGCCTCGTCAACACTTATGGTTTTCAAAGAACTTAATGATTCTTGTTTGTATCTCTATTATGCAATTCATGTAGGGAACTTGTGGGGAATGCTTTGGGTTGTCGTATGCAATCATCCAATTCATTAACTTAAGGAAAACTTGACGGTTAATTTAAACGGACCTAATTAACCCGGGGTGTTGAGAATTCATGATTTATTGAAAAGCAATTAGAAATCATTTTGTATGCAAGTATAACATGTGTGGAGATGAACCCCTTAGTTAGCTTCCCATCCATTCAATTCCATCAAATTCGTATTTACAATTTGTTTTCTTTACAATCTATCCATTTTAGTTTAAATTCGTCCAAATCCAATCCCCCTTTACTTTGTTGAGTCATAATAGTTAGAAATCAATTTAGTTTGTGCTTTTAAAATATGGTTTAGTTTGGTGTCTTATATTGTGTTTTTACATTTTTAAGTCAAATCCAAGTGATTTTGCAATCCCTCCTAATCCCCGGCCTAGAACGATCCCTACTTATATCTATAATACAATTGTCAAAAAGAGGGTTTAATTTGAGTGCGTATAAGTAACGCATCATACACCAATCACAACAACTGAAGTTTCCTTTGTTAAACAACGATTAAGATGTAAAGCAACCACAAATACCAATTAGAAGCAACGCGAAAGAACAACAGCAACTCAACCTATATCAGATTATGTTTCAAACATGTACAATTGAGGAAAAAAAAAAATTACACACATGGAAAACCAATTTATTTGAACCATCATAAACACAACAGATAAAACCAACTTGGCAAGGCTTATTTCAAATAAAACACAAAGTAAGAATCGAAAATTACACATAGTTGTTGTAAACACACCTAAGCTCAATGTGTCTGTTTTATCAATAATCTGAAGAGGTAGCATATGAGCAGGCTCCAAATTTAACAAAAAAAATTGTCGCAACCTGCAGATTTGCAAAAAAATAGAAACGAAGATTTGACATTTTACTTCAAAGGTGAAAAATGCAAAAGAAAGGATACAATGAAACAAAAGAAATTATAGATGATAAAAGTTTGAATTCCGAATGGAGAAAAATGCTAAATTAAGATAAAATGCAGTGAGCAATATCTAGTCTCTGTTACTAAAGTATTTCATACTGATGAAAAGCTTAAACTGGAACAATGGCTTGGTTTCTCATATTTTTTGTTATTTTTGTTTTTGTTCACCAATGTTAATATACAGCTACTTTAATCATGTTGCATAAAAAATATAAGCATTTTTATACATCTCACTTAAATAAACAATTTGATCACAAATTTTGCAAGATATCTTTAAAAACTATGTTTGCAGTATAGTTGTTTGCAATATTTTCTCCATCTGGAATCAAAATTTTGAGACCTTCTTTTGATGTAACTCTAGATAATGCTACATATAATTGTCCATGGGTGAAAACAAGTTCTGGAAGATATAAACCAACTTGTTTCAAAGATTGCCCTTGGCTCTTATTAATAGTCATTGCAAAACACGGTTTAATTGGGAATTGACGTCTTTTAAAAATAAAAGGCCACTTATTCTCTATTGCTGCAAGAGTGATTCTCGGAATGAATACTTTGTGACCAATATTTTTTCCAGTAAGTATTTTAAGCCTCTACAATTCTGCTAAATAATTGAGTCATAATTAATCTAGTTCCATTACACAAACCTAAAGACTGATTTAAATTACGTAATAGCATAATTGGCATTCCTATCTTCAAAATTAGGTTATGTGTAGGTAAACCATTGAAATCCAATTTATTCAAAAATTCAACAGGATATAATGTTTCCAAATTTTCAATATTCCCATTTGAAGAACACAAAGAATCATAGCTTAGAAACACATGTTGTTCTCCAGGTAACAAATCTATTATATAATTATTTATATCTGCAACAGTTGTGTTTTGAGGTGTTATAATAGCACGTTCTCTCAAATAGGCAAAATTTTCAAAAGAATTTTCAAAATTGGGATAAGTTGCTAAAAAAATTGATAAAATTGGATTTCCAAAAGAATGAACTATCAAATCTTTAGGTATTTGAATCAAAAATCTGTCTTTATCATCTGAACTATTTTCACCAATTTTTCCATCACCTATTTGTAAAATCCAATTTGCGAAATCACTGATTTTTTTTCTTTTCATCAATGCTTAATCCATTTTTTGATAATCTCATGTTTTCTGTTAAATAAAAAATTTTAGAATGTAACCACAAATAAGAACTATTCAAAGAAGCATTTATTATATCTTCTTTGCTTCTCCAGGTATAACAGGTAATATTTGGTGAAAGTCACCACCTAATAAAAGAGTTTTACCACCAAAAGGAATATTATTTTGTAATCCATTTAAGTGGGACATAATGTCAGAAAGAGATTTATCTAATGCCTTAAAACAATGTTTGTGATTCATAGGTGCTTCATCCCATATAATTAGATCTGTTTTTTCGATTAATGTAGCAAGGTGAGTTTTCTTTTTTATTGCACAAATTGAAGAATCAGTAAGGACCAAGGGCATTTTAAATCTGGAATGTGCTATTCTACCAGCTGGTAATACTACTGAAGCTATTCCTGATGATGCCACAGCTAAAACAATTTTTCTCTCAGATCTAAACTTACTTATAATAGCATCCCATAAGAAAGTTTTCCCAGTGCCTCCATGACCATAAACAAAAAATAGTCCACCTTTTTTCTTGTCTACAACATCTATAACAGAATTATAAATAAGTTTTTGACCTTGATTAAGTTGTGATTTTAAAAGTGTGTGTTTTTTTGACAATTCTTAACAATCATAATTTAATTCTTCTCTTAAAAGTTTATTTTTAATTTCTAACATTTTTTTTGCATCAGGCATTGGTAAATGATATTTGGGCAAAGAACTTGATGCATTATTAAAAAGTAATTCTAACTCAAACAATACAAAATTTTTTAATTCATCCTGTGGTATGATCATATCAGGAATTGCAAAATTTTTTCGCAAATTGTACAAAATGTCATCATACATGTTTTGCCAATGAGTATCAAAAAGAATTTGAGGATTTCCCACATCGCAGAACGTAACAAATAATTGTCTCAATTGAGGGGAAGAAGCAACATTTACAGCACTTGATAAAGCATCAATCCATTCTTTATCATCTCCTAATAATCCCCATTCTTTATCATCTCGTAATAATCCCAATGATTGACAGGCAGCATGATATGAAGGATGTATAATACCATTAACAGTTCTTATATCATCAAAGCTTAATGCACCTTTTTTCAAATTCAAAAGCATTTGCAAATAATATAATTCACCAAATGCAGGATGCACATATGCTATTCTACCTATTAAACCTTTTTGTTTTCTTGGTTTCCAAATTTTTTTCCTCGTATCATATAAAAAATTTGAAGGAATTTGTGCATAAGTGAGTGCGCGTGCTTCGCTATAAATTTTATTAATTTCAAACCAACTTGTTAACATTGTATGGTCAAAAGCATTTTGTTTAAGAATTGAATGGATTGATTGATCCCCACTAAAAACAATATTTTGTTCTAATGGTAAATGCACCAGTAATCGTTCCACAGAAGGTTCCCTATGATGTATAGAATATTGGAACAATCTCCAAACAACTTTATAAGGTGATATGTATCGACAGTTTAGATACGTTAATATTTCATCATTTGGATCCTGTTGAATGACTAATCGTGCTCTATCTGAACCTTTATTTACATATTTGAACAAATATTTTATAAGCATTGATTGATAGCAAGATTCAACGTTTATGTGTGCATTATATCTTAAAAGTAATTCAGCGTTATAAGGAACCACAAAACCGTTATCAATTTTGATTCCATTTTTATGACATATTTTGTATCGTCATCACGACGCCTATAAACAGGAAAACCATTGTCTTCAAAAATTGTGTCATTTTTATATGGCTTAGGAAAGTTTTTGGAACACTTATTTTCCCACATGCAAGGAGAATTTTGATTAATATGTCCACATGGCCCATGAATCATAAATTGGTTAACAATTTCATAAAGCTGAGGATTGACAAATTTGTCTGGTAATTCAGCAGAAATAATTGAATCTATATCTGATGCCATATAACATTTAAAATCCGATTTCAACCAGATTAACATATGAGAATGAGGCAAACCTCTTTTTTGAAATTCAATTGTACAAACATCTGTTTCCAAAAATAATTGAAACAAACAAAAACCAAAAAAAAAAAAAAAAGGGTTAGCCTGATGAAGCAAAAAAAAGGAAAAAAATTTCAGATAAGGGAAAAAAATAAGTTTTTAGAAACTTACTTGCCTCAACCTGTCCAAAGGGCTTTCCAGATTTAATGAAATCGAGCATATCATCAAGTTTCATTTTTTAATATTCTACAAATTATATCAGGCCTGTCCTCAGGCTTGTATCCTGGTTTTTTTTCAAATTCTCTTATGATTTCTGACCACTTTACATTGCATGTAAACGTTATGAACAAATCAGGATGACCATATTCTCTACAAATAGCCATAGCATCTTGATAATTATTAATCATATATCTAGGATTTCCTGTGTATGAAGCAGGTAACACAATTTTTTGGCCTAAATTGTTTGCATCATTGTCACTTCTTGACATTGCATCGTAAATTCCTTTGTAAATTTCACTTCTTAAATTTTTCTGATTTTGTCTAATATAATCCAGCCTATCTTCTTCAAGTGTTGCATATGAATCTACCAAATATTGTTGAAAAAGTCTACCACCTTTTAACAGTGTAGTTAAGTATGGATCTCTTTCTTGAATCTGGTAAGCTATATAAGCTCTCATAGGTATTCTTTGTCTCTTCGTTTTTGGACCGTTATAATTTTCATTCCATTTTAAATCTGGTCTATACCCATCTTGACCATATGGAAAAAGAATAGGATACTGAAGAGCCATAAATTTTGGATTCAATTTTGTAAGACGCTTTAATCCTTCACTTTTACAATCTACAATAATATCTCTATTAGAGTCAAATAAACCTATATCACCAACTACTAAACCACCTATTTCATCACTTGTTGGTTGATCATATTGCTTGCTATCATTTGGTTGTCTCCCTAGCAACGTAAGTTTTAAATTGGTCAGACCATCAGTTTCATATTTGTCTCTTGTTGTTCGAAAAAGTTTGACCAACTCATTTGATTCATCAAACATTTTAATCAAGTTTTCCACAATTTTTGAATCAAGTTTTTTATTTGTTCCATCACAATCAAAAGCTCTAAGACGATTCTGTATTTCATTATATGTATCATAAACATATAACTGAGCAAATTTTGAAGACTCATTATCAACAGGTAAAAGAGAACCCATCAAATGACAAACTTGACCACTAATTTTAAAAATGTAAGGACTTGATCCGTCGTTAATTGAGTGATCAACTTTTGCTCCCATAGAAGTAAATGAAAACATAGAGTTGTAAGCTCTAATATTTTCTCGAAATGATAAACTTTTTTGACTTCCATTTGGATCAAGCAATGAATCTAAAAAAGATGGTGTTGGCTTTGGACTTGAAAATTTAATTTTTCCTTGTTGACAACAGAGAGTGAAAATTGGTTGATTTTTTGTCCATCTTTGTTTAAGAGACTCTTTTAACCAAAAATATGCACCGCAATACACGCATTTATAACTTTTATCACCCAAATCCATATAATCTTTCACAACCCCTACAAAAAAGACATATATAAAAAAATGTAATCACTATATGTAAGTAACTTAATCCTAAAACCAAGCCTAAAGAAAACAATTATTGCAAAAAATTCAAAACATACCATTTCTATTTTTTTGGAAAAATGCCTTGACCCTTCTTCATGAAACAACAATTATCAGCATCTACGATTTTTTGAATTCTGTTTTCAACATTGTTGAACAAACTCACAACGTTTTTCCCTTTTTTATTAGAGGTGTACATGGTTTTTCAAGCGGGATGATATCCAACATTTCATCATCGTTAACAGGCTCAATCACACAGTGGTTAGTAGATGTACTGGAGGAACATCGATATTCAACTGATGAATATTCGCAAATAAATGTGTCAGTTACAGACATAATAACATCTTCAGAATTATGCATATAACTCGCTCTACACATTCTTTTTCGCTGATGACCATCGTCAACCAATGTATTAGATTCACTGTCAGTAACGCTTTTCTTTCGTTTTATAGCATCATTTGTTTGATCATTTGTACATTTTTCAGACATGATGGAAACAAACAACTGCACAACAGATTAAAAAAAGAATGAAAAAAATCAATAAAAATATAAGATATATATAAAAACAATAAAGATCACACAAAAACTAATGACATGTCTGAATCAAGAGTTTCATTTCAATTTAACAAAATGCAAAAGAAAACTTCATTGTTAAAGTTTTAATAAATAATTTCAGAACTTTAAATAAGTTACCTTGAGGACAAAGCGCCTTGGAAGGTGAGAACAAATAGCTTTAAATCCAAAATACTCAAGATTTTTCAAATTCTGTTAAAAAAAAAAAATACACATCATCAGAAAACTCATCAAAACAAATACACTTATTTGTTCACATGAACTATCTATTGTAATATATGATGACAGTGCACAGTTGAGTGTTTAAGTTTATTAAATAACTGAAAGTTGGGGGTGGCTGGGTACATGTTTTCCTTTCGTTTTTTTTTTTTTTTTTTTTTGGTGTTTATTTAATATCTCCAAGTGAACGATAGTAGTTTCTAGGAAAACAAAAGTTGAGTTAATTATTAAAACAAAGAATACCATAGTTTACCAATGTGACAGAGATGCACTGTGTTTGCAAGATTAGAGATGAGCGCGGATATACTTACGCTACCAAAAAATCCAAGTAGAATTGATTACTGACTTTAACAATTAAAATCAAATACAATTTTTCAAAAATAAATGCAAGGTGATGGGTACAGTTTGTCAATGAAACGATTTGAAGTCATATCTTTACAGGTAGGAGATAGCAAATATTTGCACTGCATATCTTAGTAGAATGAGTGGTTATGAAGGAGAATTAGATTTATTCAATTTCGATACAAAGAGAATTAATTAATGCAGGAACAACATTTGTGCACATTGAGAATGAAATTAACTAATTAACTTACTAACCCCTACTGTAAATTTCACACCTATACTCAAAACAAATTTTGTAACCAATATCCCAAAAAAGAGGCAAAAGGAAAGAAAAAAACCTTTGTATGATATACTGCGGTGTTATTTGTGTAACCGAACTCAACCCAACAACCTTCTTGTATACTTGGAAATTAGTTACAGATTTTATGGCTGCATAAGAAAATCAAACAAAAAGTCTTAACTTTCCTAGAAAATTTTACTTCTTCCTAAAGAACAGAAATCCATTTTTAATCCAACAATTATCAATGCATCCCCAAACTAGAAAAAAGCAGAAGGATAGAAAACGTACCCAAAATATAATAGTAGCGTCACAAGTGCTTCGAAATAGTCACACCTTACTTTCTAACTCATTCGTATACTTGACTTTCTTTTCCTTCTACCTCAGAGCAAATTGTCTATTAGTTAAAGACCACAAAATCAAAATACTGGAAAGCCACAATTTACAACCCAAGCATATAACATTAAGAAAAATCAGGCAAAAAATAGCTACACAGACCAAATGAAATCCACAAAACTAAGCCAAATGTAATCTGTAAAGATCTGGCACAACACAAAGACCAATTTCCCCTAATTTAATTTTGATAAATGCAAAATGATCACAAATAACTCACTCAAAAATAGGAAAGCAAAAAGACCTAAAAACAACAAAATCAGAACAAAAATCGCAAACCACATAAGCAAAATTATTGAAAATAAAAAGTCAACATGCATTAAAGCCAACAATAATCGGCAAAAGCAAGGAAATCAACTAGGAAAAAAGGTTTTTATTTCGAAACTCACCAATTTGATCCTCTCAGCAACGACCAGTTGGAATCGGCAACGTGGAAACACTGAATTTTTATAATTTAATCTCCAGGGCAGCGACCCAAGGAGCAGAACCAAGCCTCAGAAATTTGACTTCAGCTCGTTTCTATCCTTTGACACACGCAGACAAAGCCAGAATCAGAGAGGCAACACAAAATGAGAGACAACAGTGGAATGGAAAACAAAAATCCACAGGATAAACTCGAAATAGAGAGAACCTCAATAACCCCTTTCATCTTTTTCCCAAAAACTACAAACCCATATAAACCCAACAATTACAAATCCATGTACCAAGCAGAAAAAACAAAAGGGCAAAAAACATACCCAAAAAATTACAACAACATTGCAAATACCAGAAAATCCGAGATTTGCCAACTGAAGAACAAAAATACAAAATTCTCTTTTAACAGGGAAAAGCCAAGAGAACACCACAATTAACAATAAAAGGAAACGATTAAGGTTTCATCCAAACAAAAAACAAAAAAAACAAAAAAAACCGAAAGAAAACGATTATAAAATATACCTTAGTCGAATCACACTTGTCCCACAACGGGCTGGAAAAACACCGCCCTTGAAAATAGTAGTTAATCAACAAAAAATCCGGCCACAGGCTAGAAATCCCAAACAGAAAAAATGGGCAAACAGCAGGAATTCTTTACCCCAATTAGAGATCTGAAACCCTCGGAATAGCGAAAGGAAACGATTAAGGTTTCTCTTTCCCCATCCTCTGCTTCCCCAAATGACGCACCTAGACCTCTCTTGCCACAGGAGTCGAATCCTCTCACAGTTTAAAACCCTAAAATCCATTCGAACCGATTACCTAAACAAAGAACATCACAAAAATTAAACAAATGAACTGGAAAAAAAAAAAAAAAACCAACGAAGTCCACATCTCTTTAAACGCAACAGAAGAAAACCCTTTCACAGTTTAAAACCCTAAAATCCATTTGAACCCATCATCCAAACAAAGAAAATCACAAAAATTAAACAATGTACTGAAAAAACCCAACGAAGTCTAGATCTCTTTAAACGCAACAGAAGAAAACCCGTTCTGCAAACCAACATAAAAATCTACAAAGGAAAACAAAAATCTAAAAGAAAATCACACACCACAGAGTTATCGGAAGAAGGAAGCACCTACGACGTTCTGAAAACCACGGCTGAGAAGAACAAAACACAAAAGCGCACCAAAGAGAAGCACATAACAGGAACCAAAAGAAAAGAGAAGCTGAGAGAGATAGAAAACCACCAATGCAAGTGAGAAACGGAAACAAAAAGCAAGCAAAATAAACCCCAAAAGAGAATAGCACGATGACCGACATGTGTCACACACAATTCCCAACTTGTCCCTGCACGAACCACCAAAAACAATAAGAAGGCTTGAAAAAGCCGAAGGGCAATTCGGCCACTGGAAAAGCACTCACCCAGCACGGGCAAAAAGGAATTTTACTATAGAAAAGGAAGAAACCAGCGCCAAAACCCAAACAAACTAGGGGCAGATCTGTCCGGACATTATTACTGAACAGTGCCGGAACCCAACTGGGTTTTAGTATATATAATATCACTCAGTTATATAAGTTTTCTTTTATGTAAAATTTAACTATACAAAGATTTATTAGATCTTTATATACAAAGATTAACAATTGATCTTTTTAATTGTGGTAAAAGAAAAAAATTCTCTCTTTCTTAAGAAAGAATTCACATTGATGAGAGAAGTGACTTTACATGTGCTTATAAGTGGTTCATCTATTCCTTATATTACTAATTGGTTTTATGGTGGAACTGTTAGAGTAGAACCTCAACTTTCTTTATAGTATCAGAGCTGATTATCCCACGTGTGAAGTCCAATGGCTACACGTACTCTACGTCACCCGAGTTGTATTGTCCACATGTTAAGCTTGAAATTTCACCACAAATGAGAATGTGTGTTAAGAATCAAACTCACATTGATGAAAGCAGGGATTTTTCATTTCATCAAACCTTTTGAAAGCCATTGAAAGTCAAGGGCCCAAGCACACACCCAACCATGTGGTCTATGTAAAACAATCCGCGGCTCTCAATTCGTTTCCCTTTCGTTAATTATTTCCATTTCATTAAACCTCTTGAAAGCCATTAAAAGCCAGGGGTACCTAACAATGGGCTACATAAAAGGTCGAAGGGAACCAACTAATGCATGAGCATATATGTGATTAGAAAGCATTGCAAACACTAGTCTCTCCTTTCTCTAAAAAAATCTCCCATTTTCTGTAACGACCCGTCCCTAATTATTACATTTTTTTTTTACTATTAAGGTGAATTTACGAAAATGCCCTTCGAGGCATCTTCTCAAGGTAGGACCTATTCCGTTGTTCATATCTTTTATAATAATTCTTTCACATTATTCTTGATTAGTTGTATGCTCTGAACACGATTCTGCTTTGTGATGTGATATAAAATAGCACACAAACTTAAACCCTCATTTTGATAGTTGTAGTATATGAAATTATAGATCGTTCTAGGCTGAGGACCATGAGGGCTGCTAATCTACACTAATTAGACTCAAAAACATAAAACTAAGCTAAACTAACTCAAAACAAACTAAATTGTCTCAAATAACTCAAAACAAGCACTAAGGGGTGATTTGGACGAAAATCTAACTAAATTAACTCAAAACATGAAAAGGGGGTTTGTTTGGACGAAAATTGACTTAAAACTAATAAGTTACAGAACTAAGTAAAGGTTGCACGAAATTAAGGTGACTTAAGGGGTGAAGGGCTAGGTAGAGGGTCATTCTCCACACATGACACATATGCATACAAATCGATTTCCAGTTATTATTCCTATAAACCATGAATGACAATGCCCCAAGTTAACTGTGAACTGCACAAATTAACCATTAGATTTTCCTAAATTCATTGAATTGGACTTAGCGATGCAAACAAATTATTCTTATCAAGTTCCCTATATGAATTGCATGATAGAAATACATATCAAAGATCATTAAATTCGGTGAAAATCATAAGCATTGACATGGCATTCGTAACTATGAACTGCATGATACTCCTACCAGGAATTTACTTAACGCAATCGTGACTAGCAATCTCCACTACTTGTAAATATAAGTTCATAACTATTAGGTGAAATTCCCTTATATTTTAGCATCAAATTCATGCATGCAAACTAAGTAGGCCTCCTTAATCAACATACAAGAATAAGTTCTCTATAAAACAGATAAGTAAATCGCATTCATGTTTTACAAAACAATAACTGCATGTAATCAATTCATATTACATATATGTTCATGGCTTTGAATTCACCTCTAGCTAAAACGATATTAGTTCCACATGTTCATCATAATTGAAAACCAAATTAAAACAAACATTGAACTAAAATTAAGGATAGAATACACCTAGAAACGCTCCAGCAATCCCAAAGGCTTTAGATGGCAGGCACGGCTCCAAGCTCTCATTTCTTACAAAGTTGCGGCACAAAGTGTTTAATTTCTCCGAATTTCTCTCTAAGACCCCCTCTTTATGCGGCAGATGTGTGGTGTATTTATAGGGCTAGGGGGCACGGCAAAGGTTGTAAAGGAGAAGGATTACATGGTACAAACTAAGAAGGAAAAGGACCATAAAACCAATTAGCAATATGAGGAGTAGCCAATCTCTTATAAGCCCATGCAAGGTCCAACTTCCCATCAATGTCGAACTCATTCTCAACATATATGAGGTTCACTTGTTGGTGAGAGTCGGTCTCAACTATGTTTCTACAATTCTCAAGGTGGTTTTCCATCGGAATGATGTCACAGAAACTATCCACTTTTACTTCCTTACCCATTTCAAATCCGTACATTCCTTCAACATTATTCTTCCATATTCAAATGTTAGCACTCCCTCTTTATGGTCGCTGCACACGTGTGTTCCATGTCATCCCGTTGTATTGTCCACGTGTTAGGCTCGAAAATTTGCCACACGTGAGAAGGCGTGTTGAGAATGTGTCTCACGTTGATGGGATGAGGGACCTTGCATGGACTTATAAAAGGTTGGGCTACACCCCATATTACCAATTGGTTTTATGGTGGAACCTTAACTTCTTCAAGATATAACAAGCCTAAACCTTAACTTCTTCAAGATATAGCAAGCCTAACCTGGCAGATAAACGAGCCCCCGCCATCAGAAATAAACACTTTGCTGCCCCGATCGCTTTCCAACATGATGAACCTCTTCCTAAGTGCGCTGAGCACCATAAAGAAGAAGAAGATGATGATAATAAATATCCATGGTATGCTGAGCACCAGAATGATGAATTAACAAGAGAAAGCTCTTCAGCACCCGAATGAAAAACATGACGATGATGCTTCTCGGCATCAAAATGAGAATGAAGAGCATGAGGATTCTCCTTAAACCCAGCAAAACCAAAAAGAAAAACAAGAAGAACATGATGATGCCAGTTAATTGACGTTTTGGAATCCTTTTTTCTTTTTTTTTTCTTTTGGCCAGAAGGATGAAAACTGATTTTGTATAATTTAATTAGTTACTTTCTAGCTAGTTACATGTACGAGAAATTTAATTTGAAAGGATTTATATAATAGACTTTTATTTAGTAAATACATGCGTGCAAACAGCTTTACAAATTACAACTTTATGCAAAAAGTTAAATGAGGAAAGTCCTAATTATCTACTAAACTGGCCTTATTTTACTGTATAAATGTAAATGTCATATACTCAAAACATTTCATTCTCTTTAATGATCATCGTTTAAAGGTCATCTCTAAAAAAATCATTTGATTTGGTGATAGTGTAGTTACTCATATGAATCAAATAATTTTTTGGCTTTTTAGCCAAAATGGTCCTGAGATTTGCCCAACACATCACTTTGGTCCCTGAGATTTCAAATCAATAGAAGTCGTCCTTGAGATTGTCCACCATCCATCATTTTTGTCCTTCCGTTAAAAATTCCGTTAAGTTTCCTGGAGCTCTTAGCCGAAAGTTTGGGCAATTGTCAAAGTTTCGTAACTTAATCATTTCTTAACCAAATTCGACCCATAATATATCAAAATAAAAATAGGAAAGTGTAGAATAAGATTATACCTATTTGGAAGCCCAATTATTGCCGAAGATGGTCGGAAAATAGCCTCAAGTTGACTGGTCCGAGGGAAAACTGGAAAACTCGCCGGAAACTGGGTAAACTTTAAAAGTCTATTCTATAAATCCTTTCAAATAAAATTTCTCGTACATTGAATAATATCGCAATCATCAAGTCGTGAAATATGAAATGTAAAAGCGTTTAATCAATTTTATTCTGAAAGTGTTCCAGTTATGGATAATAACAAAATAGACATTATGGTGGGGTTGGCGGCAACAATGCTTAAGTGGTGTTGTTGGTTGCAACAATGGTGGGAGTATATATGTTAGTAGGGGCGGTGGTTGTAAAGGCAGTTGTGGTGGCGGCAATGACAACATTAGTGGTGTCATGGCAATGGTGGTGTAATGATGGTGGTTGTAGGGATAGGTGGTGGCATTCACTTATAAGGAAAACATGTGTGTGTAGAAGGATAAACAATGTATTTTTTTTTAGAACTAATGAAGGTATTACAAAAAATAAAAATATTCATTTAGGTTCAGATCTCTTTTTATAAAAGTAGTTTTCATAAGCAACGTACTTGCTGCTTTTAAAAGTTGTTGTCCGCAACCATAACTTTTAAAAATAAACAAGATTCTTAATTATTAGCACACTTTTTATTGATTAATTTTTTTATTGCTTAACTTTAAAGTGAAACAATTTTTCATCAACAAACGTGGCCTAAATGCAGTAAAAGAGGCTTGGCTGTACTAACAGTTAATTAAGAGTAGGTCCAAATTTTTATTTTTTATTTTTTTAACAAACGATATTATTTACAGTAAGAGAGTGGGAGAGTGGGCTAAGCCTCACAATGGGCTAGCAATAATGTGGTTCAAATTCGCTTTTGGCGATAATCGAACCTAAGGTCTCTCACTTACAAGTGAAGAGGAGTACTACTAAACCCTATTACTAAGTCGCGAGTAGGTCCAAATGTTAAAAGACCAAAATAATTCATTTGACTCCTAATCTTTATAGCATCAATTTTAATGTGGGAAATGATTAACACACATCTTTTTTAATTTCTGACAAACCCCTATTTAATCTTGTCCGTTATTTTTGTGTAATCTATTCAATCTAACAGTTAGAAATGGAATAAGAATGTGAGAAGCTAAAAAATGTGTGTGAAAATATCTCCCTTTTAACCGTTAAATGTTCAGATTGCAATCTAACTCTTAGTTGATCCTAGGTTGGATCAGAATAGCCCATAACCAGGTTTTAAGGGCCCAGTCAACTAATTCCAGAATTGGAGATATCTGAATTTGATGGGCCGGCCCATGTTAAAAGTTCCGATAAGAATGATAATCCAAAAAGAAGAAGTCCAAAAAGAGAAGAAGAAAAAAAAGGTCGCACCTCCAACGGTCGAAAAACGATTTAAAAATCTAATTGCTAACTCTGTTTTCTGGCGTTACAAATCCCTGTAGCTCCTTCTTAAACCCCTACTGCTTTTCCCCTGCCTCAGTCTCTTACTTTTTCACCCTTCCGTCGACAAATCTCCACAGAATTTCTCGGAATCCGATCAAAATTTTACTCAATTTTCTTTAATTTTACATTTCACCTAGCAAACCCTGTTCGATTCGTTCTTAGCATAATCCATTTCTAATTATTCTTTCTTTCTTATTCTTTCAAATTTAGGCTTCTCAAGAGAAAATGGAACCGGAGAACATTGACTGGAGCAGCGTAGAATCCGTGTTCGTCGAAGATGAAACGTACGAGAACTTCGAAGCGCCTAAGTGGGTCGACCTCTCTTCCCCAGATGAGCTCATGGATGATGATCAAGACTGGTTCTGCACTCCTGGTAGGACCCAATTTCTCAAAAATCTGTTTAGTTTCTAAGTGTGACAAAAAAAATGACACTCAATATTGTCTGTTTCATGAACCAATGTTCACTTTGTGAGTTGCAGATTGCAAGCATTCAAAGGCTGCTGAAGATTTTGTTAAACCGGCACGTAATCTGAAGGTTGTAACTGATAAGAATTTCCTTTTCACTGATACAGCAACAAATAATGTCTTAATTGGGATGTTTATGTAATAATCGACTTGTGAAAAGTTTGCTAATTGGTCCAATATTTTTTTCATCCAGGTGAAGCTTATGAGATCTTTAACCATTTCTGAAATCCTTCCTTTTAGGGAAAGGAATCGAAGGTATAATCACTTACTCTTTATATCTGTTTGGTTTCCGAGAAAGTTTTAGGGAAGATATTAGCGTGATATTCAACCAACATCACATGAGATAAATTCAGTAATTAACATTCGTTTACAAATGTGGCGACTGGCATTACACTTTCTTTTACTATTGCCAATATCAAGTGTTGTATTTCTATATCTCTCTTACCAGGGATATGAAAGCAAAGGGGACAAATTTACCAAATATGAAGACCGAAAATTCGAATTCTTTTAGCAATGTCCATGAAGAAAGTGAGAACAAGAATCCCAATATCTCAGCTTCGATTCCGCGTTGCAAAACCAAATCAAAGAAAGCTGCAGTGAATCCAAGCAGTGAGAAGAAGAAACAAGTTGATGAGTCGTCATTTCAAGATTCATCAAAAAATGGCAGGAAGCCGCAGCTAAAGACTACATTCTCCGCGAGTAATTTGCTTGGCGGACGCGAAATCTTGAATCAAATCACAGAATTTTGTACCGAATTGAAGAAATTGGCACGAAGGGGTTCGAGAAAAGGTGCAAGAGAGGGAGGTAGTTTGAAGAAGGAAGGCGTTAGAGAGAGGATGCCTCTGCTTGTTAAAGAAGCGAAACTCTAAGCAATTATTCATATAAAAATATA